AACAACAACAACAAAACAAACAACAAACACAGCATACAATAGTTATAATCACTAAGCTTACCTCAAGAGCATGCCTCACAACTAAGGTCCCTCCATGTACCAAGGCTTCATCCCTTGCTTTACGGCGATCCACCTCAGGCACATAGGCGTTGATGAAATTTTTTGTCGCAAAGAAGTTCTTGTTCTTGAAAATGCTGCTCTAGAGAAAAGGAGTGGGAACAACTGCTTTACCCTTGCCATGGGTAGGAACCTCGATCTCTCTAAGATCCGGATCAAGCTCAACAGGAGCAGGCCGAGGTACAAATTCCACTGCCTCGTCCCCCCTGACCTCATCCTCCATTCTCCTCTTCTTCTTTTGAGCTTGATCCATTTCATCCCTCTTCCGTTTGGACCTCAGCTCCACCTCCTCTATAGTTTGGACTTCTGTACTTGATATCTGTCCCTTCTCCATGTTCCCATCTCCTTTCCCACTCGCAACATTTTCCAAAGTCTTGGACTTCTTCCTTGGCTTTTTGGGAATAGCCACCCCACCAGCAGCACCAAGATATTTGTCCATTTTAGCTGCAAAACAACAATTCCGTTAAAATCCACAAATCAAAACTAAACTCTTACACACATCACACAAGGTACAAACACACCTTCACTCATTGAGCTCGGTCCATAGAGATCAGCTGCTTCTATAACATCCGAGCTGGTGAGAAACATAATATTTACTATATCACCTTCTTTTCTCACCAGCTTCTCCACTTCTTCTTCCTCATCACTATTGAAACAATACTTATTCTGGTTGGCCTTTTTAGCCTTTTAGGTAGACAAAAACTCTACTTCCCCATCTCCCCTTTCCCACTTGGTGTCATCAACAAAAAAAAAAATTTTCCTTCCATCCCTTAATGGAGGAAGGCCCTGCACTAAATAGGTTTCTCTTCTCTTTGTTGGATGACCGAGGCGTAAAGTAGTACCAACCCCTTTCCTTCTTACTCCCAGCCTTCAGCACAAAAAAGTGCTTAAACATATTCACTATGAGCACCCTAACCCCCCTAGCCCGGCAATATACTATGAACCCAATTATCACTCTCACTGCATTGGGAGATAATTGGGTCAAACCTACACTATACTCCAACAATAGCCACACTAGCAAATCAAGCAACGGGAAACCTAAGCCCTGCTGCCAAATAATGGGCATACATTGGCATTCAATCATGTTGGGGTGTAGAGCATGCCCTTTCCTTCACTCCAGTCAACCTAATTAATACTCTAAAAGAAATCTCGTAAGTCTCTACGAGATAACTCAGGCTATCCCTACTCCTAAGCTCAGACTCATACTCCTTTACCTCAGACACAATGTCTGCCCCACTATCGTAAAACTTATTATTCCTATTTCCCACTTCTAATATATTGGCAGGCACCTCTTCTGCCCCAACCTCAACAACTTCATTTCTCCCTACCCCTCCCTTTGTACCCTCAGACCCAGACAACCCACCCTTCACACTTACATCACTGTACTCTAGCATCGTTACTTCCTCGCTCCCCCCAATGCTTAATGTTTCCTCATAAGACATCTCGCCAGTCTCGTAACTTTCACTACACGGAGTAGGGGGAGGGATGTAGTCAGGATCTTCAAAAAACTCTAACTCACGCTCAATATCACTCTCACTCCTAACCCTAACCTTTTTAAGAGGGCTTAAATCTAAATTAGAAAGGGTGGGAGGAGAATAAAATTCACCACTAGAACTTGAATCACAAAAGTTCATAAGTTACCTGATTTCGATAGTGCAGAACGAGTTTCAAAGTTGAAAATATAACACACGAAACACTCACATAAGCACTGTAGAGATTTTGGCAGCACTTCGGTAGCAAATACGAAGAAAGTAAAACTCTTTTTATAAAAGTATAGCTATATATACCAAAGAACATATACGCCTCAACGGTTTTGATTAATTTCATCTGACGGTTACAATTGCACTGTTTTGAATTCGATGGTTAATCCCTAACGGACATCTCTCAAATTTGACGATTTGTTTTCCATTCCGTCTATTTAATGTAGCAGTTACTTTTTTACAACTCGTATTTATTGTACACGTCTTTTCATAGACAGCTATCACGTCACATACTAACTCTGCATCAGACTTTTTAATGGCCCCAATTAAGCCCACTTAGCACTTCTATTCCCTTTCACAATAACATTTTTCAAACTTTATAAGTGTTTCACCTTGGCTCCGACCACAATGACTATGGTCACCACTTGTTACCTCGGTTCCGGCCATAATGACTATAGTCATCACTTGTTACCTTGGCTCCGGTCAACATATTTTACTTCGGCTCTAGCCATAGTGACTCCATGTCACATATTTTATTTTGGCTTCGGCCATAGTGACTCCATGTCACATATTCTACTTCGGCTCTGGCCATAGTGACTCTGCATCACATATTCTACTTCAGCTCTGGCCATAGTGACTCCTCGTCATATATTTTACTTCGGCTTCGGCCATAGTGACCACGAGACACACATGTTGCCTCGCTCTGGCCACAGTCACCCCGTGTCACATATGTTACTTCGGCTTCGACTATGGTAACCCCGTGCCACATATTTTACTTTAGTTACAGACATACATTTATTTGAGTTACCAATTTTCATTTTTCACCTGCTTATACACTAATCCTACCACCTTGCACAATATCATTCACAAGTGAATGACTTCGAGGGGGGAATAGTGTAAGGATAGGTCTGAGGTCCTTAACCTCGGACGTACTGCTACAAGCTCTTAATAACCGAGGTGAAGTTAAATCCAGCACTTCCCGGTCAAATGACTACATGATAAATACAATAGACATGCCCACACTGGATTTATCACATACAATTTCCCGGTCCCGAAATTATTGCTTAAAAGGACACATCACACTCCGATTATTTTGTTAAGCAAGCCACGTGGATACCTCACTAAAGCTTATAAATTCCCCTATGGGCCACCTCAGAAAGATAATTGAAACCGACCTAAAGCTCCTCTTTAATTATTCTAAAAAGGTAGATCCGTTTATTGCTGACTTAAACATTGGAGTGCCTACCCCGAAGACTCATTTCGGGGCTTTGTAAGTTCATTTAAAGTGAAGACGCGAACTGAAGAAAAACTTCTGGTTTGGTGCAATTACACTATCCTAGTAAAATTCCTAACAGTTGTTGAATTATGTGCTTCCATGTGGCCAAAGATATTTTTGCTTGGGAACCAAAGCTAACCAAACCAATAATCCAGAACATTGACTCTGCTTCGCCCAGCACCACAGTTCATCCAACAGCACAGTAGACCGTTAGCGTGGTTTGGCTTGGCAATTCTGGATTATTTTAAATTAAGAACCCTGTTTCTCGGTTAGAACATCAACAATTTTTTTTTTCCAACAGTTAAACATCAACATTAGTAAAGCATTCTTAAATAATTAACATATATGAAAAGAGGTTTTTTAAGGGTACTTAATAAATGTATAGTTTAAATTATATTTTTATTATATAACTCAAATAAAAAATACATTTTTGCTTGAATTATTTTTACTTTTCAAGAACCGTTTAAAAGGAAATTTCTTTCTTCTTTTATTTTTAAGGGTAAATAATTACTATGAAATATTTTTTTAAAAAAAATAAAATTATGCAATTTTTTATTGCAAAGCACAACCAATTAGCTAAATATCCCTAAATGTAATAACTAATCTTATTTAATAGCCTTACATTTTATATTGCAATAAGAATAATAATAAATAAAACTAAAATTTGAAATTTAAATTTAAGATTAATGATGTATTATAAGTTATATCATTTAAAATATTAAAAAAATAAATTTTATATTATTTAATAATTAATTTATTATTTTTTAAAAATTTATAATATTATATATTAAT